CCCCGGGACACCCACCCGTGACCCCTCCCCTCCCCGATTCTGGGCAGGGCACACCCTCCGGGACCCCCCCTGCACACTTTGGGGATCTCCCTTCAACCGCTCATCCCGCCCTTTGCACCCCACTTGCCCGTGGGGTACCTGCAGCCCCCGCTGAGCCCTGGGCACTGAGGGGCTCACGGCAGAGACTGGAGAGGGATGAGCCCAAGGGCTGAGCCTGGGGTTGATGCTGGTGCTGCAAGGGAGCCCCAAACCCCCAAACAACTCCCCAGGAGGGGCAGGGGGCCAAGCCAGAGCAGTTGGGGTGCTGCTGACCTGAGAGGGGGGACTGCGCTGAGCCTGGCACTGGGGCATGAATGGGGAAGGCGAGTGACGAGCCACTGGCCCAAGTCTGTTCCAAATTAAAAACTCTTTATTTAAACTCTCTCCCGTTCCCCTTTCTCCCAGCCTGGAGTGATCCTGCTGCTTCACCAGGCCCAGGGGCTGGGCCCAGCACCCGCACAGCAGGGAGAGGGGGGAAGCTCGCAGGAGCCCTTGGCACGGAGGTCTGCGCCCGCACAAAGCGGCCCCGGAGCATGCTGCACCCCACATCCCTGTACTGCTGCACCCCTGCCCTGCAGCAACAGGGCTACCGAGGGCCTGCGCGTGGCTAACCCCCGCCTTGGGCATCACCACGCCGAGCAGCGCGGGGCCCCCACCACCACCACCATAGGAGTGCCCCTCCAGAGCGGGGAGCACCGGGGCACCCCAACCCCTTCCCGGCCTGCCGGGTGCTGCCATCATTTGCGCCTGCCGAAGATCGACTTCTTGCTGGGGTTCTTCTCGCCCACGCTCAGCCCGATGAGCAGACGCGCCTTCTCGTCCTCCTCCTGCTGCTGGATGGTCCCGTCTGATTTGTTCTCCAGCTTCCCCCGGGACTCTGCGCCTGCCGCCGGCTTCAGGCGTAGCTTCTCTTTGATCACCTGCCCCAGGATTTAGGGGGTGAGGGCCTGAGGTGCTGAGGCAGCACGGCTGCTTCTCGCTCTGGAGAACGTGCGGTCCACCGCGGGGTTACCCCCTCCAAACTGGGCAGAACGGCCCCAGCAGCTCCCCCGAGAGTGGGCAGGAGGCCCTCACGTACCTGTGCCACCAAGGCTTTGCGGCTGTCCCTCTTCACCGCCATGGCGAAGTCCAGCCACGTCCACGTGTTGTTGTGGTACTCCAGGCATGGCAGCACCAGGTTCAGGTCACCCCAGTCCACACTGTTCTTCTCACCCTGGGTGACAGGGGTGTCAGGCAGTGTGGGATGATGCCTCCCCCGAGCTGGAGGGACTATGCCCCCTCTCTCCAGCACGCCCATCCCGCTGGCCCCGCACCTTGTAGCTGACACAGAGCGGCACCTGCGGGATCTTGATGTAGATGAAGGAGTTGTTCATGGCCGCGCGCTCCTTCATCTTGTCGATGTCATCCACAGGATGCTGGGGACAGAGCAGGAGCCATGAGCAGAAGGGAAGGAGAGGGGACACAGCCAGGAACCAGATGGGAAGGGACAGCAGGGCACTGGGCCATGGCATTGCTTCACCAGTGAGAGGTGAGAGCTGCTCTGGCATGGTGTTAGGAAAACAAGATGCTGCAGGGATCACAGCAAGCGTGCAGGTGCTTGGTTGTAAACGTTGAAAATTCTCATAGTGGGAGGGAGCAGGAGAAAATAGATGGGTGAGGGAGGACATGGCTGCCCAGCCCTGCAGCCAAGGGAAAGCAGACTGGCTCCACAGCAGGGCTCTCCCAGATTCCCCCCTCAAGGCAGCAGCAGGTACCTCGGGTGCTTTTCGGAATGATCTTCTGACCCCTGACGTCCGATTCAGTCCCTGAGCGACTCCCTTCCCTGGGCCCAGCGAGTCATCGGCCACGATCAGCTGCCGTGGCTTCACCACAGGGATTCCTGGGACAAAGAGGGTGGGAGGTGGTGGTTGGTGCCCAGCTGGGAATTAGCCTTGACCCAGATCCCTCCCAGCTTCACTGCTCTCCCTGCTGGCTCCCTGCCCACAGGGGGGACTGTGAGTCCCTGTTTCTCAATGTGTGGCTTGTCAGCAGCTGCCCACAAACATACCCTGGACATGCAGCCAAAGCTGCCCAAGGACATCGCTCAGTTGCCAGGGAGGAGGGTGACCATAAGCCTCTCACCTGTTGTCACCAGCTTGGACTTGTCTTCCTCATCCCCCACCTCCTCCTCCTCCACATTGCGGCCGGGGAAGAAGAAACCCATCATCCTGTGGAAGAACTGGTGGGTCAGCTGGATGGTCAGGGGTACCACGTTCACCTGCGAGCAGAGAGGCCACGTCAGAGCCAGACACACCCTGCCCGTGCCCCACGGGGGACTGTGCCACCTCCCAGCCTGGCCCCAGCACCTCGAAGTGCTCCTTGATGGAGATGCCTCCCACCGGCGGCCGGACCTTGCTGAAAATCCTCAGTGCCAGCTGCCGGCCCGACTGGCAGGAGCTCTGGGGACGCAGCACCACCTGCAGGGTAGGGGACAGGTGGCTGTGGTGAGGACAGACCACCCTGACTGGGCCACCCGGTCCTCAGGGTGCAGATCTGCTCCCCAAGGCTGCTACTTGCCTTGTACACAGCGTTGGGCAGGAGGTTGTTCATGGTGACCCAGCCCAGCTCCAGCAGATGCTCGGCCGTGTCGTCAGACTTGTTGACCTGCACACACAGACCCATCAGCCCCGCACATCCCGGGCCCCGGCTCGGGGGCTGCAGTGGCACCGGCCCGGACGGTACCTTGCTGTAGAGGAAGCGTTGGAGCTCCAGCTCGGCTATGCCCAGCTGCCCGTCCTCCTCGGTCAGGCGCCAGCGGGCCTGGGCAAAGTAGAACTCAGTCCGCCGTGCCACGCTCACGTCTTCGGGCTGCTTTCGCAGCTCCATCTTGTTGGCTCGCTGCAGCTGGAAGTCCTTGAAGCACCTGCAGCAGAGAGGGGGGCGCTGGGATGTGGGAGCCCTGGAGTAAGAGGGACACTGGGGAAGCCAGAGACGGTCCCTACCTGATCAGTATGTTCAGCTCCTCGCTCTCCAGCTGCAGGTCAGCTTTCTCCTGGCTCAGCTGCTGCTGCAGCCTGTGGTTGAGGTCGAGCAGATTCTCATTTTTGCTGTCGTCCTGCAAGGACTGAAGGACAGACAACCCTCAGCACCCTCTGTCCCAGAGCAGGGACCCCAGGGAGCCAGGCTCTGCCTGGATGCGGGCTCACCTTCACATTGGAGTACATCTGCTTCTCCAGCTGCCGGATCTGGGCGACGTGCTGCCTCACAGCCTCTTGCAGGTGTAGGATACTGCTGCGCTGCTCCTCGGGGTTGCTGGAGATTTCCAGCTGGAAGCGCACCCGCTGTTTCTTCTCGCTGTGCTCCTAGACACGGGAATAGGGTGTTAGGATTGCTCTGGGTGCAGTGAATGACACGGTGACCTGAAGCCTCGTGGGTACCTTGCGTTTGGGCTCCACGTGCAACAGCAGGTTGTTGACTATGTCGAGGATCATGGCATACTGTGCAGGGTTGGTGGAGATCTCCAGGTCGTGGTGGATCAGTGTGAACGTATCCACAGCTCCTGGAGGGACACACAAAGGGCCAGGCCTCAGCACGGAGAGGAATGGGATGCACGTGGGGGCCAGCCAGAGATGGAGAGGGATGGGGAATAAACCAAGGTGGTTACACTGGCTCTGGCAGGCACAGCGTGTCCAGCGTCATCAGGTGCACTGCTGGGGACCCCTCCTGTATGCATCCCTCTGATCTCAGCAGGGCCAAGACAGACCATCCCTGGACTTAGCTGGCACTTGTGGGTCAGCCCAGAGCTCTACCCCCAAGACACTGCCTGGGTGTACTCACCCTCCTGCTTCTTCAGCAGATCCTCCTTCTCCTGGTTGGCAGGAGTCTCGGGGGGCTTTATCTGTGTGGCCAGCTCAGGGTCGATGTCATGGCTGTAGCTGATATAGTACATGCGGCAGCTGCAGCGAGAGATGATCCTCTGCACCTGCTGGGTCTGCTGGGCTTCTGAGGGCTGGTTCCAGTCTGGAGACAGGGAGGGCACCACGGTCAGAGCGCCATGTCCTGGCATGTTGGGGACCCCATGGCACAGGGCTTGGAGCATCAGCCGGGTCCTGGAGCCGTCCAGGGACAGGCCGGGCACTCTCAGCTTCACCAGCCTCAGGGTCACACGCGTGTGGGACTGGGGGAGGCTCCGCAGCCCGAGCTGCAGGCAGTACCTGTGGTGGTGCTGACCATGCCCCCCACCGCCTGCCCACTCTCCATCAGCTCCTGCACTGAGTCCAGGCTCCGTTGCCGATGTTCCTCAATATTTTTCACCTGGGGAGGCAAGGAGGCACTGCTGGCTGTCCCTGCTCTCCTTCCCTTGGCACTGACAGTGCTGCCTGCCCCCCTTGAAGCTCACCCATCATAGCCCCCCCCCAAGTTGCTCACCTCCAGCCAGAGCTGCCCATGCTCCCTCTCAGTGGGACTGCTCTCTGTCGTGGCAAAATACTGCATG